AAGTTTCAGTCCGTCAACACCAAAACTAGTCAATTTTCCACATTTTTGACTTGCACGAGTTTGAGAAAAATATGTCAACACCAAAAGTTTGAGAAAAAACGTGTCAACACCAAAACTAATCAATTTTCCCCATTTTTTGGACTCCAGGAATTTGAGAAAAACATGTCAACACCAAAACTAGTATATAATTTTTCCATGTTTTGGATTCCAGGAGGTTGAGAAAAAACATGTCAACACCAAAACTAGTCAATTTTCCCATTGTTTGGATTCCAGGAGTTGAGAAATATGTATATATATATATATATATGGCATGTCCGTTCAAAACGCTTTTGAAAGAAGACATTGTTTTTAGGGGCAACTTTACATTTCCATATCTTACCCTCTATTCTGGTATATGCGGATGGTCTAAGTTTCAGTCCGTCAACACCAAAACTAGTCAATTTTCCCATTTTTTGACTTGCACGAGTTTGAGAAAAATATGTCAACACCAAAAGTTTGAGGAAAAAAACATGTCAACACCAAAACTAATCAATTTTCCCCATTTTTTGGATTCCAGGAATTTGAGAAAAACATGTCAACACCAAAACTAGTATATAATTTTTCAATTTTTTGGATTCCAGGAGGTTGAGAAAAAACATGTCAACACCAAAACTAGTCAATTTTCCCATTGTTTGGATTCCAGGAGTTGAGAAATATATATATAGTTGGATTACATGTATAGTTGCTCCCAAACCCCCGTTCTGTCTTCTGGTTAAACAAATTGGAAAACTGCGAGGCATTCTAAGTTCCCGTCGGACTATATATATATATATATATATAAATTATGATATGTATGTAGGTGCAAATGATTTGCAATCATTTCCCACATTTTATGGGTAGTTCAATTGCCAATGGGATTTCATTTAGCTCCTAAAACGCCAATGATATGCGGGTGGTTCTAAGTTTTAGTCCGTCAACCCCCATATTTCCAAATGCACCTTACATGTATATGTATATATATATATGTATATATATATATGTATATATATATAAAGATTCAGTTTTATTTCTTATAAAATTCCAAACAGTTCCCCAAATTATAATGGGATTCAACCACCAATCGGATTTCATAAAGCCGCCAAGACACCAGTGGATGCACGCAGCTGCATCTTTTCCCCTTCAAACGTTTGTTCTGTGCTTCAGATCCCGATTTCCGCAAGAAAAGGGATATATAATGTTGAAACCCTTTGCGAGCTCGCCTGTCATGCAAAGGCCGATTTGTTTGTATAAATACATATACATATATATATATATATACATATATCACGTGTTATATAGAAATGGACGTATATTTTTTTTGATGGTGTTGTAAGTGAGGGATTTTCCAGGGCCACATGTGATTGCCAGAGGGTATACATACTTGCCCATGTGATGGGTTGAGGCAAGTATCACAGCAATTATTCAACTATTATATACATACATACATACATACATATACTCGAGAACTGAAACTTAGAATGACGTTTTGTTTTCCATTTTTTTTAGTGGAACACTGAGAATGAGGGCTGTTAGAATGACGTACCAGCAACATTTTTATAATATATAGATTTATAAAGGAAAAAGGAAAGGAAAAAGGAAAGGAAAAGGGAAAGGAAAAAGGAAAAAGGGGAAAGGAAAAGAAGGGTCCCCCTGTCATCACCATCGCAATAGTTGGCACATGGACGTTCACCACGCTCCCACATCATAGGTTTCGACCTTGGTCTGGATCCTGCCAATCTTTGCATTCAAAATCATACAGCCAATTGTCAAGAAAAAAACCGAAAGTTGTCCGTGTAGTTTTTGGACTTGTCTCGACCCACGCCGCTGTGCTATTGCATGATGCCGGGGGACTTGAATGACCAGCAAAGTCTGCTCTTTGGATAGGACATGACACATACATACACATACCATATTCATTTTCAGTTTTCAGGGTATGTGATGAATCTAGAAACGTTTTTTTTGAAACCCGAGAAATTGAAGAGTTCATCCGAGGCCGCCCCACCTTTGTTGCATCATTTAAGAGTTTCTGTCGCTGGGTGGTTCGCTATGATGCGACTGCACCTTCTCTTGGTAAGCAAAACAGCTGAATGCAAATGAACACAGCAGAGGCACAAATCCGGAATGGTGACCGACTCTCCAAGCAGTTGTGGGAACCCAAACATGTAGTCGACGGACGCAAACTGGTATGACGCAAAGCCACTGATGGAACCAAGACACAATGTTGGAAGATGAAACTTGAAAACTATCTTACAGTTTTGGTTCTTTCTGGACGCATGGTGGGAGAGTGAGGGCGCAGGTCGCCAGTGTTTTCTAAAATCATTTCTTCGAAATAGTCACAAACATCATAAATACTTCAGTGCTCAAATCCAGCTGTGCTGACTTTGCTACATGTTGGCGGGTCCCACGCAGAACTGCCCACACCAACTTGCCAATTCTTAAATGCAATGTCGATCCGGCTTTTAGTTTCCAACTTCCAACTTCCATATGCATGTCGAACCTGCTGCAGCCCGTCCAAGCGGGATACTTTTAAAAAAACAAACATGTATGCTTTTGCATTCCACATGACTGGCCACGGGGGTTGAATCTGTCTGACTTATTGCGAAGGTGCTAATCCTGGGCCTCACCGGCGGGAGGGGCCTCCACCCTGGCCCTTGGAAGCACCTGTCTCCACAGCTGCTTTGGCTGCCGTGATTTTAAGACATCCCAAATCATTCTCCTGGCCCAAGAAGGTGCAGAAAGATCAGAAAGTGATCTCGAGTTAAGGCTCATCCATCCCCTCGTGGGTCGCTGATTTGGTGAAGATTTTTGCTTCGCAACTACCTTTGGGACATGTTTTTGGAGGGACAAGCTCCTGTCAATCATGTTTCATCATGTGTCAGTACTGGAGAGCATGAAACCAGATCTGCATGTTCGTCAGCCCATTGCAAGCCCACCTGCTTTCAAGCCAAACTGGGCTGCCTTTGAGCGCCTTGGATGGAGGCTGGTGATGTTCCGGCAGGGTCACGACTGCGAATCCATTTCTCCAAATTTCAAGGCACCAAAGAACTATATGCTCAGACAAGTTTTTGGGAATCGCTTGGCCCACGATCCATGTTGGGGCTCCTAATTTTAGCCCTGTCCTGCGCATTATGCCGCCGCGAGCCCAGCATACCAAATATCAACGCAAAAGCCTCGCGCAGAAAGATGTCCGAAGCTCCGGCGAGCCGCAACGTTTTCGACCGTCCTGTGGTCCATGTTGTGAATGCGAAAAGGCGTGCAATCTCAACCGTGCCTGAGCGGGCAAGCCGGCAAGCCATGCACCGCCGAAAAGCTTTGGACCAGAGGCAATCCCCAATGTCCTTAAATAATGTTAAATATATATATATATTATACAGTAATTCCTAAACAGGATATAGAAAAGAGAGAGACGCCGTACCCCAAAGAATAATTACATGTCCCAGAACCAACTCAGAACTTCTAAAAAACAAATCTAAAATATAAACTGTGAGTTCTCAATTCAAAAAGCACCACCAATTCCAAGACCCATGACCCCCAAACAAATATGTATAAGGGCCGAAACGGGCTGAGGAACGATTGGTTGTTCCTCCAAAGGTGAAGCCACATGATGATACACCTGGGAAAAACCCTTGCCATGTTCTTGTCCCCTTGTGGAAACTTAAGAACACGCCGGGGATGTGGGTGGGCAGCATCGTGAGTCCTTTGTCTTGGAGTTTCTTGTACTCATCCCTGTAGCAAAAGGCTTTCACCTTAGTAAACTTCTCCCCAGGTTCGAAGAGCTTGGACACCTCCTCTTCGTCACTGGTGTTGCAGCACACTTCCTGCATGAAGATCTCTTCCTCCTCCAGCAACTGCTCCTCCGCATCCATTGCGATGGCCTCATCCTCTTCTCCGGCATCCTCTCCCTGCTCTAGGCTTCCCGCTTCTGCTGCTGCAACCACTTCTGCATCAAGCCCTGAATCCAAGCCTTCTGGCATGACATCGGCACCTTCTTGTGGGTGGCCCTTGAGCAAAACCAGAGATTTTGGCGCACCGTTGGCAGCCTGGATGTCAATCTTCTGCCCAACCGACAAAATAGACACCTGAATGGAAAAGTACTGCTTGCTGATGTCCTTCAAGCCTGTAGTGGTCTGAAGCTTCCAAATGACACTCTTGGCCTGCCTGTCGAACAAGAGCTTGCAAACACAGCCACTCTGGACAAATTCGTCATACATCTTCTGTTGCCTCTGAGTAAATTCTTTCCCTTTTCTGCTTCTCTCTAATGCCAGGGTCTTCCACTTTCTGCACTCGTCAGCCCACTTGAAGACAAATCTTTGAACCGGCTGTGCCATCCACATTGGCAACTCCTGCCGTGTTGTTGCATCGTCTCCGTCCTGCACCGCCCAGACCAAACGACATTCTCCTGGAAGTGCCTTCTCCCTCGCCTCCTGCAGCTTCTCAATCTCCTCTGGTGGGACAGTCATCTGGGGGATGTCAGTGATCCGCAGCAGTGATGCCATTGATCCTTTATTTCTGCGAAGGAGGTCCTCCACCACGTCCAATTTGCCTGCAAATTCAGCATTTAATATGTGTCATTCTAAGTTCCTCTAGGCATGGAAAACGTTCTTCAAAAAGAACAAACATTGCAGTTTATTTACCCATGGCCTCCAAACCGATGGTTTGCAATGCTCTCCTTCGTTGCAAAGCCCCTGGTGATCCATGCGTTCCACACCAGCTTACCCTGCCTCAGAAACTACCACAATAGGCAGCAGAAACAACCCTGAATCCACAAAAACCAGGCACACCGTGTTTCATGTTCGTTCCTGAAATTAAATTGAGAGGGCGCCTAACAAGCATGGAACCGAGAAGCTCGAATTGGGATAGCGATTTCAGGGCCCATGCGTCCGCGCGCAGGGAATCTTCGAAACGAAACCTGGGATTGCGCCATCACCCTAAATTGCATTCCAATCTTCTATATAAGTTGAATGCCATCAACCCTAGATATCCTAGTTCTTTTGCTGGGGAAGGGAACGCTGGCAGAGAATCAGAAAATGCCCACACAAAGACCATCCACTACCAAGACACCTGACCGTGTGGCTTGATTGGATGGATTGGTGAAGTTGGTCTTGAGTCGTGCGAAGGTCAAAATCGGCCAGCCATGAGGTGGTTGTGGACGCAAACGCTTTCGTTAGAATGTGCAAATACTGATGGAAGCCATCGCATGGGGAGCCAGTGGCCCCCCAGCCGCCCGGTATCGAGCACTCTATGCTGTCTCCGGTTAAGATATCCTGGCGTTGGGGGACGAACTGGACGAACTTAGAATGTGTCTAAGCTATCAAATTGTCCGTCTACACACCCCAGGTCGGAATATATATATATATATACCCTAATTTGATGGAAGCAGCCAGCCCCGAAACAATACCAGACAACGCAATCAAAAAGGAATGCGTATTATCGAGAGAAAGAGGGTGGCATATTTTTCACACAAAACAAATATAACCCAAGCAAACAAGGCACCACATTGTGCTGCTCACACCAGACAGCTTTGAAGGCTGCAAAATGCTTGCAACTATGCTGGCTTGCATGGTCGCAGATCAGAAGACACCGGTCAGAATGCTTTAGGCCTAGGGCCTTGCGTCTTTGTCTCAATTCTTGTGCGAAGAACTCCAGGTACTCTACCATCGTCTCACTCGTCCAAAAATGGCTCCGTGATCGTGGTCTTGCAATGTACAACCAGCTTTCCAGCTCCTTCGCGCTGGGCCAAAGGAAACTTAGAATGTCGTCCATCTGTTCCATGTTTGGATATATATATATATATGTATTTTTCAAAAAAAAAACGTTTATTTGTTTATATATAAAAATATATATATACATATTCATACATATATATATATATTCAGTATATATATATATATCATATTTATATATATATATATTCATATATATATATATTATATATATATATATAGCTTTGGACAGCGCAGCTGCCCCTCTACCAAACCCAAGCAAAGACCGTGTCCTTGTTCAACTCTGAACGAGTCTTCTCCGAAAGGTAGTCGTCTTTGCAAGTCACAAATCCCCGCCCCAGCTCTCCTGTCACCCAACTGAGGGTGGTCAGGGTATGGGGCTGCCGCCACGACTCAATTGCAACGCTGGCGGTCGTGCCGCCTTGAACAGCCGGAACCCATGGCGCCACTTCATGTCTCTCACCAAGCTTTTCAGTGGGCTCTCTGCCCATGAAGCGCTCAATGCAGTGCCGCGTTCTCCTCAAGGACATTGATTTGGCAATCTCATCTCGGTCGGGCTTCTTCTGCAAGACTTTCTTCCGAGGTCGCCAATTCAGTGACCATACTTGGTCAAAGTTTGCCAGGAGCGAACCGTGTGCCTTGTGGGTTTCGACCTGGTAGTTCACCCAGTCCCGCACAGCCACCATACCTGGGTGTGAATATTGTAAATGGCGCCCTGGTTTCAAGTTGCTCGCCATGCGAATTGAAGTCTTTCTGCACAAGCGTTCCGCAGCTTTCCTGTTGAAATGCAAGCATATGAGCAGCATTCCCACCAATTTCTGCCAAAGGGTTCTGACATTTGTATGTATATATATAATATACAAAAACATGCAAAAAGTAGGACCCTTAATGTGGCAAACTGGGAACCGAGCGCAAAGCTGGCAAAACACATGAAAACAATGCCAAGGAGCCAGAATTCACCAGGTGCACCATCACTCTTTGACAAGGAAATCGTACGAAGCATTTGGGTCTGTGCCCGAATCTTCTCGATGCCTGCTTCCCAATCCCTTTCGCTGGTTGCCTCCCCTGCGTCAATCTCCTTCAAGATCGCTTCTGGGGATTCCAATTCCTTTTTCAGGATTCCCACACATTCATTCCACTGTTCAATGGCCGCTTCAAGAAGCGAAGAAACGTAGTGAAAATCCACCTCTTCACCCACATCGATTCTCTCGACAATCATGGCAGCTACCAAGTCTTGAAAGGGCACTGGAAGAATGCAAGTTGAAGACTCATCAACAGCAGAAGCCCGGTTTGGGAATTTTCGGCTCTTCCCCAAAAAGGACCGGATGCAGTCCGGGAGCTCTCGAAACTTCTTCGCCAAACGGGGTGAGGCAGCGCAAATGATTGTCCAAGAGTCTTGTCGTCGTGTTTTTCTCCATTTGTAGACGCAAGATCGGTAATAGCCTTTCATCTCCTCCACTGCTTTCGCTGGTTTGTCGTCCCCGTCGGACACTGCTTGCTCAAATCTTACCATCCTGAGATGGGCACATGAATGACTAACTTAGAATGCCTCACTCTTATTATATATATATACACACAAGATTACACAAGCAACAGAAACTTGCAGCAAAAGAAGTTTGCGTACGTTTCCAATGTGAATCACTGTGCGTCCACTGGGGTTCTGACAATTGTTCCTTGTCCCATATAGTGGCCGTTGCAGACTTGCCGCGGTTGTTCTTTCGGCTGTCAACTCCTGGAACCTTCCGCTTGTATAGTCTTTTTTGTCCTCCCCTGCGTGGAGCACTCACCTTGCCATTCTCCTTGCCTTTGAGCTTGTCATACTCTGGCGCCTTGCGTTTTCCCCGCAATCTACGCAAGGAGCTCTCATTGCCAGCTTGGCCGCCACCTGACAAAGCCCTCCAAGCCCCTGATGAGCTCACCAATGCTGCGACGGCAACTGCCTGAGAAACAGTCGCTGAAAAGCTGTTCCCAGCCAGATCTTGGGCAAGATCCTTGGTCTTGAGAATCTCTCTGTAGACTTCTGGTTTGAAAGCACAAGGCCAAAGGCCCTGGGCATTCATGAAGTCTTCGCCATTCAAATAACGGTTCTGATCAACAAAGTACACCGGGTGTTTGGGCATACAGCATGGAATCCCACCAGAAGAAGTAACTGGTCTCTTCAAGCTAGGCCCGCAATCCACAAAGATGTTCTTCTGCAGAAAATGCCGCTGCATTGCATTCTCAACATGCTTTGCGTGGAGCCCTGGTTTGGGCGGCTGCTCTGATTGAGGTCTGAACATGAGATCAGTCGGAAACTGAAAATTGGTCCTCATTTCCAACAAAACTCGCTCATAGTACTTTTCCATGGCGGTCACATCTATCTCATCCTGGGTGATCAGAGTGGCAATGCCCCAGACCCTGTTGCGTCTTTGAGGAAGCATATAGTTCATCGAGTCTACCACTTTCCAAACCTAAGTTGGCCAAGAAGCAAAGAGCCAGGGTAGGTGCTGCCTGGAAATGAAAACACATTCTAAGTTCCAATATGTTCATATATATATATACATACATATCTAATGCCCACAGATATACAAATTTGCATATTATATACATATATAAGCATATATGTATTAAAAAAAACGGCGACAACTTTCAACCCACTTTGTGGGTAGAAAACAAATTCCTTTGGCCTAGGCGCGAAGTTGTATCCAAGATCTTTCATGTGCTTCCTGATCGCCTGTGCTTTCATGTGCTTTCTGATCTATATTATACAATGGATACTCGAACATTTCGAAAACCAAACGGCCCCGATTTTGTGAATACACTTTCAAAAACGGGCCTGGACGCACGATTGGTGGAAGATCCCTTTGTTGTCCTTTATCCTCTCGGTTGCTGCTTTGACATTCTCGTAGATGGCTAAGCTTGGTTGGAGCATTTCCACAACCTATAAGGGGACAGCGCACTGGAGAAACCAAACCAGCACTACGAGCAACTTAGAATGACATCCTTTTGTGGCGAATGAAAATTGCAAAAAAAATGCTTGTGTTCGAGTGACCCCCACCAAATGACATTCTATTTGACATATATATATATATGCATATATATATATACTCTGGTAATCTCTGGTATTCTTTCTGACCTGGCATTCTATCGGGGGTCCGTTTGGTGCCCACAGTGACGACCAGCTGGCATACGGAAGGTGGTGAGGTGTGAGTTGGGAGGCGTGAGTGAGATAGTGAATGAGTTGCACTTTTGACAAAATCTAGAGATCCTCACCTGGCATGTGGGGAACTACCTTGAAAAGTTTGAAATAGTTGGTCGATCGCGTCATGATGGCAATATATATATATATATATATGTATACATATGTTTTTTGCTTGAATCTAAAATCGGGTGTATACTTTTATATATATATATATAAATAAACAAACTGTGTGAAAAATCGGGCCCGGAGTCAGTGCCAGAGTTTGGAACCCGCGGCCTTCCTAAACCCACTTTCGTAAGTAATGCCAGAAACTCCGTTTTGATCTTGGGCCTGCCCTTCATAGGACCCTGCGAAAGCTCTTCTTTCGTTATTACACTTCGAGATATCTGTGCAGGCGGTGCCGCTCTGCAGAACATCAATGGCACAACATGTTTTGTCGATGTTGTGCTCAACCCCGCAAACAAAACAAAAGCCACGCCCTGCGCTGAAGTCGCGCACATCGCCAAATAAATGATTCATGCCGCCCTGCTTGATCAGAATCTGTCGTTTTCTGGGATCTCGCTCGCACGAAAAGATGTGCTGCACGCGTATTGAGCTGCCTTCTCCCTGCAAACGGCGCAGCTTTTGGGGACAGGGGAGGGGACACCAGAATCGTTCTTTCGTACACATTCTAAGTTCATATATATATATTATGATTTATATGTTATATGTTTTAAATACATTATATATTATATATATATGTGTAAGTATCTACTTTTTATTTATACATGCGTACAAACTGGGCTAGTGTTCACGGGAACTTGGTGGTGTGAGAACGTGACGTGTGGATTCTTTGCAAAACATCCTGCCTGACTTTCATTCAGAAAGCGAACCAGCTCTTTCAGCGCCGGAATGCATACATCCGTTCCTGAGCAGGTTGTGCCAACACGTATGCATGCTCGGCCATTTGACAATGATGCGATCCTCTGCGCCAAGACTTCCTTCATGTCCATTGACAGTTGGTTGACAAGAAATTTCCCAGTCTCATAGAAGTCCATCCCGGTTGGTGCGTCAGCTTCGCTTTCCTCTAGCTGAGACTTGGTCAGGACAAAAGGCCTGTTCCTGAACCGGGGGGCGATGCTCAGGAATCGTGCAGCAAAGGGAACGTCGTAAGCAACTATCTCGCAAAACTCCCAAGTCCAAGCTGCCTTGTTGTTCTTGATGCTATCCAGCCGGTCATTTGAATAGACACTGCCCCAATTTTGTTTGAGCAACCTTCTTGCCTGACAGTCCAGCTGTGCACAAGAGGCGAATTCCACCTCGCCAACGATCATGTGTCCGGATTGTTCACGCACCAACACCACCAACTTCTGTTCATGAGCAGCAAACGGTCGGATGATAGAAGAAGTGTGGCCGCTCACCAATGCATTCCATTCAAAATCTTGAAAAAGACAGCAAACAACATGATCTTTGTCTTTTGCCAGAGATTCTGGTTCCTCCTCCACCTCCGTGTCCCCCTCTGCTTCATCCTCTTGCTCCTCAAAATCGCCTGCCTGCCCATCCATCATTCGCTGCCGTTTTTGGCTGCTGCAAGTTGTACCAAATGAAGTGGATGTCAGCGATCTTTTGAGAGCAGAGGCACTTGAGGCTGCGACAGCTGCACAGCTTTCAGAACTGCCTGAGCCCCGCAAGCTACGCTGTTCGGTTTGAATTGTCACAGAAACGGGGTCAACATAGACCCAGACTTCCCCGCTTTTTCCGTTCCAGATTGGAGGTTCTGGAAATGCATGCACCAACTTGAACTGCATGCCAAAAAAGGTGCTAGATCGAACTGAGCTCTTGTACTCCTGGAACTCTTCCTCAGTAACCCTGTGGCATGGGAAATACCTGCTGAAAGTATCATCCGTCAGTGTCACTGTGAACTCATACTCTAGGATCGCCAAGATCTGCCGAGCCTTCTTGGAAGAAGTGCTCACAAGCAAGATCCGATCTTGTCCTGCAAGAAATTTGAAGCTCCGGCTCCTGACCTCCATAATCTTCAAGCCCTGGACAAACTTCTTGGCATACACTTCCTTCACCAAAAGGCCACAAAAACAGCCTTTGCGTTGTATGAGATTTTGTCGCCGTAGCTCTTCAGCAAACTGTCTTTGCGCCTGACGGAAGAACATCCCTATAGCACATATATATATATATACATCTCTCTCTCTCTAATTACATATTATATATACAATTATATATATATATTCCATCTTCTAGTCGATGCAAACCAGGCTGTCCAATTCAAGGAGTGGAACCCCCATTAATTTTGACGCCTCCGTTCAAGGGACATTTTTTTATGTTCATTACATACGGCATTCTAAGCTGTTGTGCCATGTGCAAAAACCCCAGCCATTTGTTCCAACGCTATTTACACACACATGTATATATATATATACATGTGTATTTATATGTACGTCTGATTGCGTCTGTATATATGGCCACAATGTATATCTATCTTTCTATCTATCTGCACGATGGTCAATACACTAACCACTGGAACTGCGGCCTCCGTTTGCTGGAGCAATTGCTCCGGTTTGGCATTGTTGCCAACCGTCGGCTCCTGTTCAAGACCGCGATTTAACAAGAGGTTGTAGGAATACCATAGTGCCACATTCTAAGTTCTATGTGCATGGATCATCATGCCCTGTATTGGCTCCATATGTGAATGTCCACGTGCTGTTTTGTCTACTTCTTGGCAAGCACATGCTTCGGAAAATTCTTTGGGAAAAAGAGGGAAGGCCCCTTCTCTGTTTCCTATTAAGGGGTTATATTTTGTTTGTGTTAAATAAAGACATTCAATTGATTTTGGAATCGGGAAAAAATAGTTTTTATCATTAATAATTTATTTTAATTAATAGGGTTCCCTTCGAAATCCAAGTTTTGGCAATATTCAAGTGCGTTATGTAAAGAAATTTAATTGATTTTGGAATCGGAAAAAAGAGTTTTTATCATGAAGAACTTATTTTAATTAATAGGGTCCGCTTCGAAATCCAATTTTTGGCAACATTTTAATTGCGCTAAATAAAGAAATTTAATTGATTTTGAAATCGGAAAAAATAGTTTTTATCATGAAGAACTTATTTTAATTAATAGGGTCCGCTTCGAAATCCAATTTTTGGCAACATTTTAATTGCGCTAAATAAAGAAATTTAATTGATTTTGAAATCGGAAAAAATAGTTTTTATCATGAAGAACTTATTTTAATTAATAGGGTCCGCTTCGAAATCCAATTTTTGGCAACATTTTAATTGCGCTAAATAAAGAAATTTAATTGATTTTGAAATCGGAAAAAATAGTTTTTATCATGAAGAACTTATTTTAATTAATAGGGTCCGCTTCGAAATCCAATTTTTGGCAACATTTTAATTGCGCTAAATAAAGAAATTTAATTGATTTTGAAATCGGAAAAAATAGTTTTTATCATGAAGAACTTATTTTAATTAATAGGGTCCGCTTCGAAATCCAATTTTTGGCAACATTTTAAAAATAAAGAAATTTAATTGATTGAAATTGATAGTTTATTTTAATAAATAGGGTCCGCTTCGAAATCCAATTTTTTGGCAACATTTTAATTGCGTTATATAAAGAAAGTGTATTGATTTTGAAATCGGAAAAAAAAGGTTTTATTATTAAGGGTTTAATTTTATTAATAGGGTCCGCTTCGAAATCCAATTTTTGGCAATATTTTAATTGCGTTATATAAAGAAATTTATATAATTGATTTTGAAATCGAAAAAATAGTTTTTATTATTAAGGGCTTAATTTTATTGATAGGGTTACCTAATAAAAATACCATGCTAATACTAAAAACTACCTGAGGTGTTTATTAATAGGGGAGGGTGGGGGCGGGGGGTTTAGTATTAGGAGAAAGGGATTATATATATATATATATAAATATTGCACCGAGGAAACAAATTGTGCTATGTTGTGCGTCTGAGTTGGCAAGCGGGATTTAGACAAAATAAAGTCAGGTAAACTCCGCATTCCAACCCCATTCTAAGTTTCATGTCCCTAGCCGAGAATGGCCTGTTGCTTTGACTACCAACAAAGATCTCCCTTCCCAAAGCTTGTCCGTTTTTTAAAAACAAACTAGTTATATATATATATATAAATAAACTGAAACCAGCAACACCCGATGGATACTTG